CAAATATACATTTAGGCTGTGTCTGGGCCGAATTCTTTGCCAGATTTTGAGTGATTTTTCAACCGTTGCAAAGAACTCCAGCCACAGAAGTTGACCAACGATGAGAGGTGTGGGGGCCATTGTTTGAAAAAAAGGGCTATATTTCCACTGAAAATCTAATGAAAAGTAGGACCAGACAAAGCCTTAACATAGAGATAAGCCTTAAGGGAAACAATCATGCTAAACGTACATTAATTTTTTACATTAAATTTGATATCTTTTGACATGAAATCCATTGATTTTTAAAACGTCTTGTCACATCACTCACCAATTTTTTTGTAGAATGTAGCTTAACACTTATTTGAGCCAAGTGGTTGAAAAGATTAATCATGGTCGTGCTCTTTTGCCGTGTTTTTCTTTGCACCACCCAACGAGATGACTTCATATGTACGAAACAAGGATATAAATACATAGTGATGACAAAAAATGGCCGGAATAATTGACCAAAGAGTTGCGAGTGTGAAAGTCATCATGTGAACGCGACTAAATTTTGTACCAAAAACGTGTTTTGACCACTACTCAATGACTTGTCAATGTTGCCACTTGTCAATTTTGATTTGCAATTAGTAGTTTGTATTACCTAAAAGACTCTTCATGTCACCGTTGATGCTTGAAAAGAGAAACTTGGTAAGTTCTTCCAAACATTCACGGAAGAAATGATTAGGGGAAATTGGATGTAATGATCAACCTTTTAATTTATCACCTATTTTAAGAATGTTCAAGAATTTAAGAATTAAATAATTGTTGATTCACACAAAATACTCGATAGTTAAAAATAGGGTTTTGAAAAATCTTAGAATTTTATTATTAAAAAAAAAAAAAAAACAACTAAAACTCGTATTAGGTATTTATAGAGTTGGCGATGAGATTTTGGGTGTTCTATATGATATTTAAAAGAGTGTCCATCTTTCACACAACTAATCCTATTTAATGTGCGATGCACATCATTTCTAGATATTTTAAAGTCTCGTAAAAAATGTTATACCTCTCCCACGGCCACGAAAACCACATACGTCTTTTAAATTTAGAGTATGTTTGATATATATTTTTTTAAAATATAATTTATAAAAAAGTAATTTGTTGGAGATTGTGTGATTAATAGTGGGAAAAAATTATAGATTCACATGCAAAATTATTTTATCGATAGTACTGGCTTGCCTGTGTATGCTCGAGACCTAGTTCGGTTGGAACGCATAGGAGCTCCCTATCTACGTATGTAAGTTGTTGGTCTCGTTTTCTAACCCATTGTTTGTAAGGTTGTCTTGTCACCACGGTATTCCTCCTCCATAAGTGAGGTTTGCTTTCAATAAAATTTATTAGCAACTAAAAAAAGAGAGATAATTTGTGATTGAAAATGATTTTTAAAAAATGAATTTTCAAAAATTTCTACCAAACAGAGCCAAAATGATCGTATCCCCTCTTCCCACGTTGGGTTTCCTTTCATCATCATTCTTCTATTTTTTTTTTTTTTTTTTTTGATCTTCTAGGAATATTGGGTAAAATTTCTTTTTATATTCTTTTTAGTGGCAAAACCGTCCTGCCACAAATCTAGCTTTAGGATTTAGCCACGACCCTTCTTCCCTTTCCATGAACCTTGGAAAAGATTGCATTTGAAAACAATTTTTTTTTTTAATAAAAAAGGTGTCTTTTCTTTGAAGGAAAATTTGCCAAAATGTCTAACAATTGGAAAGAACAGACAATGTGGTAGAATTTTTCAATCATTCATTAAATGTTGACGTGATTCATTTTTGTATTTGATCAAAACATCATTAAGATGGTCCTATCTGCTTAAATGTTGACGTGGTTTATCTTCGTATCATATATAATTTTTACTTTATTTATTTCTCTTACTTTCACTCAAATAACGGCATATGTATTTCTCTTTTACTTTTTCATATAATCCATATTTCTTTTTTATTTTCATCCAAAAATCCTAATTCTTTTTACCTCT